GCTCAGTCCCCCAACAACCTGCGCGGCCATTGGTAACCCGGGCGACGACCGAGCCGGTATAATTTTCGATGACGTCAATACCATGAAGGCCAGATGGCGAACTTTTACGGAGACTTTGCCACGATCTCCAACTATCGTCCTTTTTCAGCCGGGGGGACCGGCCATGGCGGAGTTGCCATTTTCAAATGTTTATATTTTCTTCTACTGGCTCTGGTCCTTTTTCTATAGTTGAAAGATTGTTTCGAATAGTGCCTTTCTATTTTTATGATGCCTCATACCGACACTTGTCTGCCAGCTTTACGTGAAGTGCTTTTTCTGCATTATATGTAGATCATAGGCGCATCTTCTAAAACACGCACTAGCCAAAGCGGCAGTGATTTAGTGCTCGTTTGTAAAAACGTTTTTAGTCTTTGATTTCAGTGTACATAGATGCAGTTAACGATTATATACATTCATGGATAGCTACGAATTAATTTTCATTTTGCAATTTCTTTCAAAATTTCGCATAATCACCATGACTTTTAAGACATCTCATACAGCCAGAAATATTGAACGCAATTGCTTATGTTAATTGATTTGTACATTTTGATCAATTATGCTTCCTCATTATTTGAATTTATATAAATGCAGATAGATGTGCATAGAAAGTGTTCATACGCGCTTTTGATGGGTCACTGAATCATGAACATGTCCTTTTATCCTCGTTGTATATCTCAGCTTTTTCTTTTTAAAATTGGGTTTGACTTTTTTGACTTTGATCACGTCTATTTAAGCTATATGAAATTAATGGTGACCGCGACGAAGTATCATCAAGTCATGACGATAACAGCGACGACGACTCGGATACAGACAGTACGATGGACGGTCCGGTTACCGTAAACTGCCGCCCTTCATGATCGATACAGCTGTGATGCCGATGAACATTGACGAGGTAGAGCTGTACTTTACAGTGTGAAGATTCGTCGCATTTTGTTCATATAGCTTCTTTTCTGGATTTCGTTTTCTTACAGTTGTACATTGATCGATTTCGATTATCTTGTTCATGTGTGCGATTGCGATTGCCATGAACCGTGGAAGTTGTGCCTGAAGTTTTACAAGAAAAGTTTTTGGTTTAATATGCTTCTGGATTTTCCAACAATTTTTTTCAATATTCGGTAAACCGATGTAATTTAAATCTAACCTATTGAATAATAAAGATATAGGTGTCAGTAATGTAAATGAGGCTTAAGTTGTTTTATGTTAAAGGTAGAAGAATAACATATGAACAGTTAGCCATATATATTTATTTATTTGTTTATGTGCAGACGCTGGATTGTTAATTCTGGTATACAGCGTATATAAGGCAAATTCCTCATTATGATATCATCGAGTACGATACCATTTATGTATTACCAGAGAAAAGGATGCAACCTCGTACTATGCATCCCATGGAAACTCTATCCTCTGAATTTCTTCGCAGTCTCAGTCGCTGAGCTTACTAAGATGGCTTCATGTACGTCGTTCGCCATGATTATTATCACTACCACCAGCACCGAAATACAGCTGCCGGCAAGAGTTTTAACATGATATGCGTTACCGCGTTGTTCCATCCACACTCAGACTGTCGTTTAAATAGTTCTGTGGGGTTAGAACTTCGTGGAGCGGAAGGAGACTCTGATTTGTCAGACTTATGATGCAGGTCAGGTGAATGAAGTGACTCAGATCTGACTGATTCGTATTTACCGTCGCTCTCATTTGCAGTGCACCCAATTACCGCGCTGATGATCAAAATCCTCGTTGTCCAAAATATTGTTTCTCGTCGACACCCGCCGCTAGGTCAGAAACGATATCTGGACAAAACGCAGC